CGAAACTGGACTGGCAGGGGGCTGTAGCCAAAATGAGTTTGTCTTTAAGCTCTTCTTCCCTTCATCCAAATTAGGCCTTAACATGCTTGAATTGCATGAATTATGCTCTCTAAAGCCATCATTATTACCTAAAGCTCAATGAACTAAAAGATAAACACAAAAAGGATTAAAAGCACAAGTTTAACTCAAAAACATAACCAAATCATAAGCTAGAAGGGTACAAAATGATATACAATTATGAACCGATCAATGACAAGAAGGTGTTTGTTCAAGCTTGGTAGTTAGACAAGCCATACAAAGAAAATTTAGAGATTCTACTCCCACCAAAATTATGGGCAGTATATGCCTTGTTTTGTTTAAATATCCAACCTGTCAGAAGGCCTCCAGAAATTCACAAGAACAAATTTTCCAAATATATATATGCGAGATACACGAATTACGGTATCCCTCAAGCATTCAAAATTTAATACAAGCTCCAATGATTCGATGTTACATTACAAAGTCATAACGACGTAGTCGTTAGAATGTTAAAGAAAAAAGGGCTACAGTCCAGATGAGATAAAGCTGCACATACTAAAGACCCACGCATCCTCTAGTCTTGAAAGAGTAGAACCATATGCCAAGATGATCGGTCACCAAGCCAAGGAAGGACAACCTGCAAAAGGAAAGAAGGCATATGTCAAGGTTAGGTGATGCTGGAAGGCGTAGTCCAATAAATAAAAAGAAACGAGAAGAAGGAGGTATCGAAAAAATTTGAACGGAGGTCCCATCAAATTTTGGCAGCATCCACCTTGTCCTAGAATGATGCCCAAGCTGTAAGAAGATCTCAAGCAAAACAATTCCACCAACCAAGCAACATATGTATATATTAAGCAAAAGTTACAATGTGTCTTTGGCAAAAAACAAGGGGGGCAAGGACGTAGGTTCTGGCAGCTAGGACACAGCAACACTACAAGCCAAGCTACCGCAATACAAGTTTGAGGTGCCCCAAAAGGAAATACAACCTAAGTCAGACTAAGTTATACAAGCTAGGAAGGAATGTGTTCTTCAGTCTTGAAAGAAGTCCCGGAACATGCCGAGCCAGTCAGTCCTACACCAAGCAAGAGGCGCCCTGCAGAATTTTAAAAAAAAAAGAAAAAAGAAAAAAAAAAGGGGGAAAGTCATAAGAGAACAGGTTGGTATTGGACAAGAATGAAACAAAAGAGGAGGACAGGAAGTCACGAACCTCGGGACCATTAAGGATGGTTAGAAAGGAATGATGGAAGTCTTGTTGGAAGATCTTGACACTGCTTCCACCATGCAGCCAGCACCATCGGGAGAAACACCTTGGGCGAGATGGAGGGCACGCAATTCCCTATGTTGATCTTCTAACTCGCGCTGCTTAAGATTCAGGGCCTCTGCCGCTGCCCTTATGTCTTCAGAAGCAGAAAATGACTCTATGCTGCGAGTAGCTCGCTCCCCGAATATAGCGCATGCTAGATTTTTCACTAAGTTCAAAAGAAACTCCACCCGGAAGCCTAGGGTCATGGCTTCACAGATCGCGTCCCGCCAGCAAAGAAGTCGATGGTCTGTGATATCCAGCAATCGCATAGTACTCATCCCATGGAGCACCAGACCAAGGGTCCGGAAGGCGGCGCACCGTGAGAAGGAAGACGTGATGCCAGTCATATCCATAAGATCTCCATGTTTATGCAAAAACTTATCCAAAGCTGCAACAGTCTCAGGATAAACGAGAGTTCCCCGGAACATTGCATAGCCATTGAACCGATGATAAATTGGCAGAAGCTCATCTGCAGACAGAAGGACCTGAACACCGCTATCAAAAAAGGACATAAATGCAGTAAAGGAACTCTCCCATTCCACCCAGGACATGCTAGATGGGTGTCTTGCAGAAATATCCTGGGTAGCAATGCCATCAATTTGGTTGTTCTCTCTGACAGCTGTATCACCAGATGGAACCACTGGAAGAGATGCGGGGGGGACGAACCTTGGTGTCCGGAGAAGTGGTTGGATATGGGACGGAGTGGGCAGTGCCCCATAGAAGGCAAAAGTTCCACTTCGGAGAGCTGCCGGGAAGGCCGGAGGGATGATAGGCTCGAGGCCCCTCTGAAGGAAGTGCTGGACGGCAGGCTGCAAAGGACTCGCAATTTGAAACGAAGGTGCCGTATCCAGAGAATTCGCGGATACCATGGTCGGGGGTGACTCGGCAAGAGTTGCCTCAACCAGAGCGACAAATGGGTCGGAGGAAGAAGGTGCCACATGCACAATTTCCATGTTTTGAACAACATGCCCGATCTGCAAAAAAAAAAAAGGGAATATACGTATGCAAAGATCAATACGAGATAATGAGCAGGTTGCGCGTGTTAGCAAAAGGGCAAGAGAGAAGCAATCATCCAACTAGGCAAAAGCAAGGGAAATTCAATGGAACAGGTACCTCATGGGTACTTTGCACAGGATCAATGATGGCTGCAGCAAGGTGCGAGCCTTCAGCAATGTTGCTGACCTGCGAGGCAAGGATGGAAGGTGAATAAGAGGTTGAAGCGCAAACGAATGAAAGCAAAGTAGAATGTGAGATATGCCAGGTACCGACTCAACACTGACACGGTGCATACTGCTACCAGCAGGCCCATAGAAAGTATCTGAGCTTCTGCATGATCACCCGAATAGGCAAACGCATCCTCATTGCGAACATAGGTGTTGTTCTCATTAAAATCCTCATGCACGTCGCCAATGTCCCCTTGCCCCAGGATGCTAGCCTCGGTTTCAGTGGTATCACCATCATCGCTGTCATCATCAATTGTCACCACGGGTCTGGCCCCGGAAGCCCCGTCATCACTTATGCGAGTTTCGGTGAATCTTGCATGCAGGATGCGCATGCTACGATGTTTTGGAGTCACCTGAGGAGATACCGAAGGCGCGTCGTCCCTCTTTCTCTTTGGGGTTGTACCCATCTTCCCTAAAAAAAAAAAAAA